AACACAGAAGGATGCTCCTAAGTGCGCACCTCATCCTTTGACGGCAGCTGGCTCCTTGCTTTGGGGTGTTCCTAGCAGCGCCTGACTCATATAGCCAATAGTTTCAGGGGACGGGGACTTTTCCGTCAGTTAACCAGTCCCCGAGGCGTCGGGGTGCATGTCTCACCCTGAGCCAACCCCTGGCCGGGGTACGTAGGTCCTGTGCCCTCCCTTCCGTCCTGTGCTGGGGCATTACTTCCAGCCACACCACCTGGATTGAGAGTAGGGAAGAGGTGGCTTCCCGGAGGAAAAGCGAAGTGATGTACCCAGAAGAAAATAAACACGCTGGCCTGGCAGAACCAGCAAATGTTCTCACTTAGCTGCTCTGTGGCCTTCAGGCAGCTTGATTTGACTTTCAAGGCCCCACTTTCCTCTGTGAAGTGGAGATGATGATCCTGAAGCACAGAATGGTGGTGAGACCCAAGGAGGCCTGAGGGAACGGTGGTGAGACCCAAGGAGGCCTGAGGGAACTGGAGCGTCAGGGGGAGGGTGCCAGGAGGGGTAGTAATTCAAGTGTGTGGTGGTCGTCTGTGGGCCCTCCCCACCCCCAGACGGTCATTATAAACAGTCAAAGATCCTGCTGTCTGCTGGGACCTGGCCACCCCGCACGCTTGGAGCCTGGAAGCTAACACGCTTTCAGCTGCTTGTGGATTCAGCCCGGGCGCTGGCCTGCACTAAATCAGCCCTGTTTAGGGGAATTCCAATAAGCTGGTCTCACGGGAAGGCGTGACCCCTGAAATATAGACTCTGCCGGGCACCTGTAAACATCACTGGCTCTTGCTGGTTTTTTCCAATTCCATTTTTCCTCTAGAGAGAATTAATAATATGGCCACTGATAAAATTCTACGCCATCCCTGGGGCCAGCGTTAGGAGAAGGGTAAGAACTCTGGGACAGCTTTGGCGTCTCATCCACATTCCTTGCTCCTCTGCGGTGCTTGACTCACGTCGCCCCGCACCCATCAATCCAATCAAACCAGCTTCTGGCCAGTCATGGGCGTTTCCAGCTTCTTCAGGCGCCCGGCCTTTGCCCATGGAATGTCCTACTCTTTTCTTGTGACTTAACAAATGCTTCCACTTTCAAATCCCAGCTCAAATTCTCCTTGTTTGTTCATTCACTCAACCAATATTTAGTGAGGACCTGTTGTATGCCAGGCGCTGTCCTCAGGGCTTGGAGTACACAAGTAATTAAAACACACACAGCGCCCTACCTTCGTGGAATTTTTATTCGAGTGCAGCGAATAGCCTAGTGCATTTAAAAGCATAATAAATCCAGGAAAGTAAATATGAAGGTGGTGGTCATGGGGATGGGTGTACTTACCAGCTTAATAGGTGGCCAGGGAGGAGCTCCCTGAGGCCAGCGGTGAACAAGGTAAGTTTGGGCACTTACCTGGGGGAGGGGAGCCCCTGGTAGATACAGTAGAGACTCAGAGGCCCTGAGGTGTGTGTGGAGGTGTCAGGAGGGAGGGCGAGGAGGAGGAGGAGCAGAATGGTGGGAAGTGGTCAGCGGTGTGAGCAGAGGCCGTGTGCTGGGTCTGGTACCTCTGGGAGAGCTTTGCTCTGGACTCGGAGGCCCACAGAGAGCCCTGAGTAAAGGGTCCACATGGCTCGCCTTTCACCCAAGCTCCCTGGCTGGAGCAGGGAGAATGGGGAGGGCGGTGGCAGGAGCCAGAGGAGGGGCCTGGGCCAGCGTGGTGTGGTGCAGGACAGGTGGGGAGAGGTTGTCAGGTTTGGGGTACCCAATAGTTTCCACATGGCGTTGATGGATTGATTGGGTGCGGGGTGGGAGAGGGAGCCAGGCTTCAGAGACACGAGGATGGGACCTGGCCATGGCATCCACCCAGGCACCCTCGCTCACATCTTGGCGGATGACTGCGAGTTATACGTTTAAGTATAATCGCATGCCTCCTTTGTTTTTGAAGAAAGCTATGGACTCGATTGCCAAAATAAAAAAAAAAAGTCATGTGTTCAACTGAAAGGTGTTCTCAAGGATCCTACAGACCAGCGCTCCATTTAGGGGTCCTGACCAGCTTGTGTAGCTTGACAGGGGTCCCCACAGCAGGGTGCGCCACCCACACAGGGCATGTGAATGGGGCCAGCGTGGTGCAGTCTGGGTCCTGGTGCCGGAGGACAGCTGAGTAACCAGTTGGTTTAACCAGCGGACTAGTCAGAACTTTTGTAAAACGCTCACCGCAGAGGTAACTGCCACACAGTGAGCGCCTGATACATGCTGGCTGCAACAGTGACGGTCAACTTGTTCCTTTACAGGGCTCTCGGACCTTTGGGGGTGTCAGGTATCAAAGCACCATTTTATAGGTGGAGTGTGTGTGCAGGGGCCAGGTAGAGTCTGGGGAGTGGAAGGGCAGAGTTAGTCCCCAGGCCACCTTGGCAGTGATCCCTGTAGAGCTGGGGGTGGTAGACCAGGCTCCCCACTCGACGCTCCCCCTGCTTCTGTCTTCCAGGAATTGAACACCCAAGTAGGAATCAATAAGACAAAGAAAAGCATCCTAAAGTCCTTCCATTTTTATCCTAGTTAACCCTTAGAATTGTCCTGTAAGGTACACCTTCCTAATATCCCCTTTTCACAGAAGAAAAAACTTAGGCTCAGAGAAGGTAAGTGCCAGAGTCCAGATCTCACCCTCTGAACCCCTAAATCCCTAGATAATTAGAGAGCAATATATAGTTAAGTGCTAACAACTTAGCACGTAATTATATACTGTTTCTCACTATTGTACATAATTTACTTCTAATTGCAGGGTTTCAGAATGAGCTGAAGAGAGCGGGGGCGAGACTGGCAAGGGTTCGTGGAGACTTTGGGAACTGAGCTGAGCCTCGGAGAGGATTTGGGTGGAGGCTGGAGGGGGACAGGGTGGGTTTCTGGAAAAGCGAATAGAATGATCAAGGCAGCAGGGTAGAAGCAGGCGTGGAGGGTCTAAGAAAATGCAATTTAAATAACAGAAATACACGTAGATGTAGCTCACGTCTTTGAGAACTTTGTGCCAGGTGCTTGCCTAAATCCTTTGCACTGGTAGAGCACCAAGCCACATGGAACCCAATGAGGGAAGGAAACTCTGAGCAGCTGATACTGCTCTCATTCCATTTCAGATGCACTAGTGGTATGTTGTGACTTGGAGCCAGACCAAGACTCCAGAGCTCCAGTCCTCCCCAGCCCAAGTTCAGAGACCTGATGAGAGGTGGGGTGGGGTGTGTAGGTAGGGAGCAGAGACAGGCTGTTTCAGGCCGCGCACCTCTAAGTGTGGCCTCAGCGGAGAGTAAATGTGTGCCCAGAGGCTATGAGGTGGAAGCCCAGAAGAGCCAAGGAGCAATTCAAGGGGACTCATTTCTGTGTTATCCGAAAGAGAAATGAAGACTGACAGAAAGACTGAGAGGGGGTATCAGACAATGACAGCCACCCCGGAGGCCATGGGAGTCAGGGTAGCCAGAGAGGCATCAGCGAGCAAAGGGAGGCTGAGAGCCACAGAAGCTGCAGAGGGAGATTGTGGGTTTGGGGTGGGACGGTAACCCAGATGTTCCCCAGGACAGGAAATGAGGGATCACCCCTGCGGAGGGTTCTGGGAGAAGACAAGCCAAAGCCAGGAGGTGATATGCTAAGAAAAGAAGGATGGAGATTCTTTTTTGCGCCTCTTCTCCTCATGATCATTGTCAGGATTTTCACACAAATTGCATTTCTATTGCAAATGTCTTCCTTGCCATTTAAGACGTAATCCCTGCAATGTGGGACTCAAACCAAGTTGATATGGGCTCTTTAATCCATTCTCTTGGGCAAAAGTTATTTAAGAAACATAGAAAATCTCAAAGCATTGTTTATAGTAGGATCCTCTTTTTGTTTCATGCGTATGTTTATAAATATGTATATTACAAAGAAAAACATCTAACGGACGTTAGTAATCGGGGTTTTATTGTGTGTACGTGCCCTTTAAATGTGTATAATTTATTATACTTTAATTATCCCTCCTTAGGCTATAAAAACTATAATAGAGGTTCTCTCTAATGGTTAGATGATGGTACATGACTTACAATTCTTTTGGCTGCAGATGACAGAAACTCGGCTGAAACGTATAAAGCAATTAACTAAATGGTCCAGATACTTCTTCAGGCATGGCTAGATCCAGGGACTCAAATTCCATCATTAGGCATCTCTGTCTCTTCAGCTCTCAGATCTGCTGTCTGCTTAATGACTAAATTCTCAGGCACTCTAGGTCTGTGGTCCATCAGCCTTGCACACCAGTGGAAAGAGTGCAGCCCAGAGCTGTCATCCAAGGGTCATGGCTCACCCTTAACCCATTGAGTCTGTGGGGAGGAGAGGGGAGGCACTGTGTTGGCTGGCAAGGCCAACGTCTGTGACCCACGGTCAGAGCAAAGGAACTTTCGAGGACTTCGAAAGAAACCAGTGATTAAAAGAAGGCGCTGAGCATTTCTCCAAAGGAAATCCAGAGCCCTGTTGCCAGAGGAAGCGTAAAACCACAAATGTCTCCTCTAAAGGGGCCTTCACTCTCTGGGGCATGGATGTTTGTAATGCCTGAGTTGTTTATAATAAGCATGTAATTGTCTTGCAATAAACGGAGAAAAGCGAGATCCCCTCTTAACCACCGTGTGGTTGCATGTGGTTGCGACAATGGAGACGGCTAATGAGTGCGAAGAAAGCAGTAAAGCCCCTGTCTCACCAGGGCCCTGGACTTTGTCAGCCCCGGGAGGCTAGACCAGGGCAAAGCCAGGGGATCCACCCTCTCCTTTTCGTAGCTTGTTAGTTGTGTGTTTTCGTGATCCATTGGGCCGTCAGACGGTCTCTGGGGCTCTGGGTTGCCAGAGTGAGGCGCCCAGGGAACTGGGCCCCATCAAAGGCAGCCTCTGCCTCTGAGCCTTCTGCACGGGGGCACCACGCCCAGCCTCAGTAAACGCTTCCTTGCGTTCCGATATCACACTGATCTGTTTCTTCATTTCAGGGTTACACTAAGGACATGGTGACAGACTTTGATGAGAAACATGATGAGTATTTAATATTGCTTCAGCAGAGGAACCGGTAAGATGAAGCTGCTCCGCAGCAGCCCTTAATATTAGCCAAGTAAAAGTTCTGTTTAGATTTATTAACAGCACGCAGGCTCTGCTTCACGTAGGAATGGCATTCAGTCACCCTCCACTCAGAGGCTTGGAATATTATCTGCAGTCCCAGCTCCTGTATCTCCACTTCTGATTGAGCTGCAGCCAACTGTTCTTTGAGTAAACACTACCTCTTGCTTCCCTGCTTCTGTTCGAGAGGAGGTGGGCTTGTGGTGAAAAGCTGGAATTGGCCATGGCCTGTGCATTCGTCACCTGAACGGTCCCATCTGATGTTGCAGGCTTTGCGGGCCCTTGCAGTCCCAGCCTGTAATCACACTGCATTGTGTGAAGGTGGGATCATTTTCCATTTGCATCCAAAGTTGGTTGCTATGTCAGTTGAAGTTAAGTGAGTACTGATTTTGACTCTGGTGTGCTGGTTCTTGAAAACCTGCCTTAAGTACACTGTTTGGTGACAGGTTCAAAGCCATGTGGGCAGCTTGAAACAGGTGGTGTTTTCTCAGTGCTTTTGCAGGGTTCATTTTCAGGGCACCGTGATCTGTGGTCAGGCCTGGAACCCCTCAATGAACTGGATTTGTAAGCTCAAATGCAGGGAGGGCCCACAGCCAGTGACGCCAGCTCAGTGGGGAAGGTGGCACTGGAAATGCCATGTGTTGAGCCAGTTCTGTTTATGGGAACATGGGCCTGGGCCCACACCCTCTGTGCTGGCCAGAGAGGCTGGAAATCTGGATTTGTATCGAGAAATGTCCTGAGTTTGAAAATGGTGGCAGTGAATTCCATGGAAAGTCCAAAAACAAGGCAAAGAATGCTGCAGATCTCCCCAACAGGTCTGCAAGTGGGGTACTACTTTGGGCCTTTATATGATGGGCTTGGACTTGGGGTCTGGCAGGTAAGAGAGTCTATCTGGGGATGGTTATCCTGAGCTGGGGGTTCAGCCCTTGTCTGGCTGGAGTCATGGTGCTAATCAGCAGGGTCCCTGGTAGTAGCAAGTTGTGATGATCCAAGTTAGTCCCGGGGGCTGCAGGAATGTGATATCCCTGCCCACAGCTTCAGTACTAAGTTCCAGCAAGACCCCTGGTGTTTGCCCCAGTAACACTGCCCATGTTTCCAGATGCCCCCTGGGGAGGCATCTAGGGCCAGAGCACCTCCCCAGGACCGGCCAGAAATGCCAGGCAGTGTCTTCTGTGCCCAGCTGCTCTGTGCTCATCTCCCTCCGTCCCAGGGACGACAGACGAGCAGAGCGAAAGGCCCGTGCTGATTAGACCGGTGTGGTTTTTATCATCATTCATGCCACGGAGCAGGATGTTTTCATTCGTTTCTGGCAGGCTGGATGGTGCCACCGAACACCTGGGTGATCGTTTAATCATGTGCACGTGACTTGTCTGGGAGGAGAGTGTCTCCGTTCCTTGGAGCACATTGCTTTTCATTAATTAGGGGAATCGATAAGTGCGTGATGAGAGGGGGATCAGACCAGCCGAGCACGCAGATGAGGAGACCCACAGACAAGGTTGCAGCACAAAGGTGATTTCAAAATGTAACAAAACTGACGCCGCCAAATTAAGGGTATGTGTGGTTGCCAAGAGGGGCCTGGCTCGTTGACAGGAGACTAGGAAGGAGGGAGAGGAAGAAACACTGACGAGTAGAGACTTAGGAGGAGCGGGAGCACCCCAAGGGTGGAACCTGCCCTCATCCCTACACTCCCAGATGAAGCAGAGACAGTTTCTGCACTCATTTTGCAGATGAGGAAATAGAGGCCCCGGGAAGCAAGGGCAGGAAGCAGTGACACTGGGCGGTGCTTTCTGGCCTGTGTTTCATCGAATGTTGTCATGAGCAATGAAGAGAAGAGAAACCTGCCGGGGTTGCCCCTGGCCCCAAGGGCACTCAAGAGGCTCCTGTGAGGAAGCTGCAGTTTACTCTGGATCTAGGTTTATGACCAGAAGTCAGTCTTTCCCCATCTCTCAGCTGTTTTCTTACACGGGAAACATGCCTCAGTCTATCCTTGGCGAAGCTGGAAAAGAAAGCCCTGTCCGCTTCTCTTGCCATCAAGCAGTCGACATTCCTCAGGCGAGCTCTTAGGAGTGCCCTCCCGGGGACTCAGTGGCCCCCAAGATGCTGGGCACACTATTCTTGGATGCATTCAGCAGGAATTCTCAGTGCCCAGCCTCTCTACCAGTGTAAAGGAGAACACGGTGAAGAGACAGAGGCTGTCCACCAGTGCTGCTTGGGTTGTGAGGCAGAGAGGCCCAAAGGAAATGGACATTAAGCGACAAGGACACATATTGGCTCATAAAATTAAGAAATCCAGGACGATACTCTGGCTTCAAGCATAGCTGGATCCAGGGGCTCAAATTCTGTCAGGAAACCAGGAAATCTCCACCTCCCAGCTCTGGTTCCATATGTTAGATTCATCCCAGGCAGGCATTTCCCTCATGGTGCTGGAAACCCCATGCTCACAACCTGCCTGAAGGGAAGAGACACCCCATTTCTGAGAACTCCAGCCAAAGTGCTGGGGCGTGGGGGTGTGGGAAGGGGGCCTTCTGTTTGCCAGCTGGGACCCATTCCCACCCTGTCCAGTGAGGGAGCTTAGCCAGATGGGTCAACAGCTGGGTCGTGGTGTCCGTCTCATCCAAACCCCAAAGAGTAAGAGAAGGTGTAGAACAGTGCCCAGCATTGGAGGGACTGTCTGCAAGATGGGGGGCATTGCAGGGCCGGCATGAAGAGCGCAGTCTGCGAAGCAGCCTGTGCCCCTGAGCCCCGGGGCCGTGGCAGCGAGCATGAGGCCATCTGTAACTGTGCCAGAAGAAGCAGAAGGGATTATGCCCTGCGGAGTGGGGGAACAGGAGAAGGAGGAAGAAGGGGGAGAGGCTCGGCCATTGGGCTGGCCCCCTGTTCACCCCTGCACAACCCCTCCCAGAGCGGCTTAGTGATTCCCGTCACTCGGCTTTGTGAAAGATGTAATCACACCCAACAGGACTCACGAAAGAGCAACCAGATTGATCAAAGTGCTGAGATATGAGGATTGACCGAAGAGATTAGGCCCTTGCATCTGAAGCGCTCATGGCCGAGGGGGCTGTAACAGACACGTCTAGATGGTGGGAGGGAGCCCCAGAAGCAGGCAGCCAGCAGTGCTATTATTTGTTTTGTGAAAAAGGTCATTTGAGGGAAACTTACAGGAAAAAGGGGTCTTAAGAGAGTGGAACCTGCTGCCTCACGAGAGATTCGGGCAGGCAGGGAGCCAGCACCCCCGGCCCCTGAGCTAGAGCTGCGCCGCGTCTCCCATCCTGGAGAAGCCCCATGCAGCCGGCCGGCTGCATTCTTGGTCTCACTTTGCAGGAGATAAAACAGGCCCTGCAAGGTCGGGACCGGCCAAGGTCACACTGTTACAGGACAACCCAGTGGGAAAGGGGCTACCAGCGCGCTTAAGAGTCACTTGTACTGCAGTCAACAATGGGTTTGTTCACAAAAGGGGAAAGAAAAGGAACAACCCAGGGAAAGAGAGAGAGAGGTACAAGGTAACCAGAGCGTCCTACCAGCTCTGCTGACTTGGGCTCCACCAGCACGCTGTAAGCTGATCAAGAGCCAAACGACCAGCCGCAAACCACCAGACCCAGAGACCCCCGGAGCCCACAGGTCCCGTCTTATCCCAACCTGGCTGCTCAGCTCCGCCCTCACGTCCCAGCGTGCTTCTCCTTGGTACTGATGGGATTTGTAGTTCCAGTATTTGGAGTGGGGGCGGAGTCCATGAAACCTCTGTCTGTTACAGTACAAGCTGGGGAGGGAACCACCGGGCCTCCAGTGTGTCGCTTGCACCTCTGCCCACATCTGCATGATGGGGTGGGGACCTCCCAGAGGACACATGCCAGGCCCCGAGGGCCACCAGGTTTGGGGAGGAGCGGCAAGCTTTGCAGCACTGCGCCCACCCCCAACCTCGCCGTCCGTCAAGGCTCGGCTCGGCTGCCACCACCTCCAGGAAGCCTCCAGCTGGGTGGAAGCCTCCAGCTGCTCTGGTTGCCCGGAGCCCTGTGCCACCTGGTCAGCAGACGGGAAGAGCAAAGCGCGGGACTAGGAGTCATCCTCCGGGGTCTGAAAGACAGGACTTAAGTCGCAGCTGCTTCCTGGGTACAGTGGCCGTGAACAAGTTCCCTGGGGGATAGGCCAGTGGGAGAGCCCCTCACACTCCAGGGCCAGTGGCTAAGTGAGGCCAGCTACGTGAAGGTCACCAGCGCGCTTCCCATCATCGTTGCGGCATTTTAATGTTCTCTATGGCTACCCCTGGAGCCAGTATCCAGACAACCTTCCACGCCTGTGCTTCAAGAGCCCCTGAGCTGGTCATTGGGATCTCTGAGGCCCAGAGGCACTGTGTGGCTCACGGCCGTCCCACAGCATCACGGAGTCCAAGATAGTTCAGTCACAAACCCAAGTCAACTGGACCACGAACCCTACACATGCACTAGGAGGGTGGCTGAGGCCTGCTCACCACCTGAGTCCCTGCTCGGGCGCTGGCCACACTCCCTCACGACACCCTGTGCTCTCTCACGGTGCCTCTGCATCCTCTTCTGTGCACAAGAGCACAGGTGACCCCAGAGATCAATATGGGCTGAAACAGCCATGATGCCGCGCCCTGCGCCTCCCCCCACGGGAGCTGTGCTCCCAGGCACGTCTGTGGCTCCTCTCCCAGGCTGGGCCTCTTGTTACAGAATAGATGTTGAGCATTCCTCCTCATCCTGGCGCGCCCCCCC